TGTGCCCGAGGAGGTGGCCCTATTCTGATCTGTTTCTCGTTTCTGAAAATTGAATTCGTTGAATTGAATTTCGGAATCTTCGGGTCGGAATCGTATATTACGCGTTTTCTTCAATTGTTTTGTACTTTTCGGTCCATCATCTGTCGACTCTTCAGTCACATGCAAATTATAAAAGTTTTTCTGACTATGCAAGACTTTGGGAAAATCCGTCGAGTCCTCGGATGAAAGATGCCGATTTTTAATTGTGTTTTCCATTACTTCTCGATCGAATTGCGTTTTAATTTTCCAAATTTCCGCCTCCGAATTCGAATCGGAGGTTGTTAGACTCTGAGATGAACTATTCGATGGCTTTTCGATTGTCGCGCCAGTTGTATTTCGTGCTGCTTCTTCTTCTTTGGCAACTGGTACTGCCAATTCAGTATAGCTAGTAATTGGGGTTGCTTCTTCTTTGGCGACTGGTAAAACTAATTCAGTATAACTAGTAATTGGAGTTGCTTCTTCTTTTTCGGAGACGGTTACTACTAATTGAGTATAGCTAGTAACTTCTTTGTCTTCTTCTTCTTCTTCGATACCTCGGACCCACGGATCGTCGTTGTTTGAAGTTGAAGTGCTTTCATCTATTGTATATTTCGCTTCTTTCTGGGTTAACTTTTTGTCGGGGTCCATAAGGTAATTTTCATATAGATATATTTTTTTTTGTATGTGTGTGTGTCCAGGCTATAAAACTAAAACTAATACTTAAAAAACTGGGAAAATTTGATTGATAAACCATTGTTAACAAGAAATGAAAATTTATTTGAATAAATTTTAGACTTTTAGCAGCGAGTTCAATAGGAATTACTTTTAATGGAATGTACTTTTGTGTATTTTTTTTTTTTCACATCACTTTCCAATAGCTCATATTTTCTATGCAAAGTACTTTCAACTAATTTTCCACTTGAATACACTAATTCACAACATTTTCGCACATTTCGCACAATTGAAAATTCATTCAACACTCAGCGAAAGCGATTTCCAATGCCAATTTTAAGCATGATACCATGCATTCCGCGTCCAAAATGAAAATTTTACCTAATTTGAAAAGAACAGAAAATGCATTGAGACAGCTGGTTAAAGAGGCGGCCAGGCGTTTCCACACTCCGAAAAACAAATTGTGGAAATTCGAAAAAAAAAAGATAAACATCGAACTGAAGAGCCGATATTACGTGTATATCAATTGGAAGGGGAGAAGGAGAAGAGCAGGTGAAGGCAACAAATAACTTAAACTAGAGAAAGAAGAAGAAGCAGCAGCAGCAGCAGTTGTTGAAGAAGAGGAAGCAGCTTGTAAGAATTTACTTAGGGGCGCGCGCGTCTATTTTCACATGATGTGTGAAAAATTATTGAAATTGATTTTTGCCAAGTTCTTTTTGTTTTTGTTATTTCTTGATGATTATTCTGATCTAATTTTAAAACGCACGACTCATCATGCGAGATGGCGACGCTCAAAGTCGGAATAGTGAGAAATAAAAATGAACACACACACACACACACACAAGTTTACACATACACCTGATGACCGCGCCCACGCCTTGGCCACAAAATCTCAGCAGCATTTGCTCACATAGACGACTCCGAATTCGGATATATTTTTGGAAAATTCTTGAACAACGCATCTGTGTGTGTGAGCATTCTCTTGCTCTCGCGCTTTAAAAGCCGCATACGCCCTGTGGCCAGGCATCAGTGTAGGCTTGCAATAGCTTTGGTGAAGATCTTATAAACCAATTACTCCCCATCCTTAAAACAAAAAACAAAACTGAAACATGTCTCTGGAACGTGCTGTTCGTGCCAAGGTGAAGAAAAGTGAAACATAAATTTTAAAAATAAAATTAAAAAATTAAAAATTAAATAAAAAAATATATTAAGTTGAGAAAATAAACATTTTTTTTGTTAAAAAAAATATTAATTAAAATATAAAAATGTTACAGTAAAAAGTGTTTTGTGCAAGTAAAAATTTAATAATAATATTACTGAATTTGTTTTGTCAATTAGATTGCCGGCAAACGCAATCCCCAGATGGACAAAGAGGCCCAGGAATGGATCGAGGCAATTCTGGGTGAGAAATTCCCCGCTGGTCAGGCATATGAGGATGTGCTGAAGGACGGTCAAGTGCTGTGCAATCTGATCAACAAATTGCAGCCCAATGCTGTCCCCAAGATCAACTCCTCCGGCGGACAGTTCAAGTTCATGGAAAACATAAACAACTTCCAGAAGGCGCTGAAGGAATACGGTGTGCCCGATATCGATGTCTTCCAGACTGTCGATCTGTATGAGAAGAAGGATATTGCCAACGTGACCAATACCATTTTCGCTCTGGGCCGTGCCGTAAGTACACTAATTAATTGATTGAATGACTGAATAATTGACGGACTCTTTTGTTGCAGTGCTACAAGCACGCTGACTTCAAGGGTCCCTTCCTGGGCCCCAAGCCCGCTGATGAGTGCAAGCGCGAGTTCACCGAGGAGCAATTGAAGGCTGGCCAGACCATCGTTGGCCTCCAGGCCGGTTCCAACAAGGGCGCCACCCAGGCTGGTCAGAATATCGGCGCTGGCCGCAAGATCCTGCTCGGCAAGTAATTCCATAGGAATTGTCCGCGACTTTCTATCTATGTCTTTCTACTATGATTTCTTTGTTATAATTTCTACAACTATGTTTAATTGTTAAGTTTACAAAAGAATCAAAACATATTAAACCAAACAAAAAATATTCCTTACACAAAAACACACACACACTTACAAAAAAACAAAAACCCAAAAAAAAAGATATATCAAACACTCACACAAATGCACACATGCACAGCACAAAGGCTTGTCGTTGCGATTTATGTTAAGTATACGCCTAAGATTATTTATACAAAAAAAAAGAAGAAGAAAACGAAATAAAGAGAAGATTATGTGGAGAAAAAAATAAAACCGAAATCGAATTTTAACCTTCAGCTACAAAATGTGGCGTTTGTGTGGGTGTATCTTTTATTTATTCATTCCATAAATCTAGCATATATACATATACATATATCCATCATATATATAAAATCTAAATATGGCTGGCTATAAGTAATATATGTATATATACAGATGTGAAAACGTAAACAGCCCGTTTTTACAAGTGTGTGCAAAATATTCCACTGAAGCGTGTTGAGGTCATTCTAGATTATATGTATATCTACTATATATATAGTATATATAGACGATCGTCTACATCTATATAAACCAACTATAGAAATTTGATGGAACCGGTAAAGACAAAGTTTAATGATTAATTCTACTAAATTGAATTAATATTTGTAAGGCATTTACAAAATTTGTTTTTGGCTAAGCAAACCGTTAAATTTGTCTATAATATAATCTGACTGCAGGTGTTATGCGACATTCAGAATTATGCGCGCCCGAGACATTTTCAGAATTTCACGCCCCCATTTAAATTCGTTGCATTTTTGATTTATGCACACGGATTTCAACTGTATTTACAAGGTATTTTGATTTTTTCACGATTTTTGTAACGTTTACAAAACAACAAATATGGAAGCAGAATGTGCTGAAGTAGTGGATAGTGTAAATCTTCCAGACTGGAGTGTGGATAATAATTTACATTCCACTTTTATGAGAGGACTAGAGAGAGGACTTGTGGATGGTAAGAGCGATTGAGCATTGCATGCATGCAATTGGTTCTCACGCTTGGAATAGAGTTATGTTAGTTCAGTATTTAACCAAAAGAGGGCGCAGACTAAAGTGTGAAGCTTATGTGGCCAGCAAATGCTGCTCAATGAGCAAAACAATTCAGTGCGCCTTGTGTATGTTGATCGTGTGCATATGTGTTAATCAAATTGATTTTGTTGCGCATGTCATGTTGTTTCTCACATGCACTTTGAGCTATAAATCAAATTCAAATATTCATAAAACATATGTACATATTTTGGTGACTAAGTGAATCAATTTTTCGACGCTAGAAACACGATGGCACCGCCAAACGCAATCCACAACCAGCCGTCGAAAATCAAAGAAGGAGAAAGAGAGAGAAAGAGCGTTGGAAGTTAAGTAAATGGAAGAAAAGCTTTTGTTATGCGGGTAAGCGAGTTCTCTTACATTATTCAATGCTTGAGTAATTAAATTTGTTTTTGGGTGCCATACAAGTAAACAGTCGAAAGAGTATCTAAGCGCCGGCATGCCTAGCGTATGTTATCCGTTCCACTCACATTGTTGCGCTATGAGTACTCGTTTATAATGTAGATGAAAAATGTTCTTCATTAGGTTTTTGCTAATTGCTAGCCAGTCTTTGCTAAATATAAAATGCTTATAATACTCACTAAGCCAAATTTCCACAAATTCCAATGTCATCATTCTATAGAATGTATACAACGAATTATATATGTTTGTATAAATATGGCGATAATCAGATTTAAGCGCGTGGCAGTATTTTGCAATTTTGTTTACAATTCAATAATTTGCGCAATTGCTGAAACGAAAAAATTGAAAGCATTGATTATATATAAAGATATATATAAAATTATTAAACATTTTAAGTTTAAGGCAGAAAAATAAAGAAAAACAAACATAAAGTATCAAACATGACACTGAAAATGAGCAGAAATATATTATGTTTGCTCATTAAGAGATTTTCTGTCATTTTCAATGGCAACTGAATATATATATTGGGCATGTAGGTCTCTGTTTTGATATATAGGAAATAATATTTTTCCCATTTTATATATATTTATATACTCATTGTGATTTAAAATAAATTAATTTATGTCAACTTTGGCAATGTAGAGCAAACAAGTATATATATATTTTCTAATTATGTTTTTTAAGTGAGAAAGTGAGAATATTTATAAATAAATAAATACGATTTTTTTCGCCTAATTGCATAGTAAAAACAAATTTCTCAGGTTTATCTTCACTATGTATTATATATATTTGTGTATATATGTATGTTTATTTATATGTATATATATATATATTTTTTTTTTTGCTCGACTTAGTTGTTAGTATATCTTAAACACATCGCGCTTCAAGCTCTGCAACACGTTGCGATATCTTCTTAATGGACTCTCTCAGTTCCTCGATGCTGGCTTTCTTTTCCTTTATCTTGTTTACCGTTTCATCAAAATCGTACATTAAGGCTGGCATTGCCATTAGTCCGCCCCGATAACTGAGGTCTGAGTAGTCTTTACGTATTTTATTACGCTCCAATTTGGCTGCACAGAGAGTGCCGCGAATCGAATCCTCTTCCATCTGCTTGTCAAGGAGTAGTGATTCACAGATTTTGGATTTTGCACGCATTATCTTGGCCTTCTCACGATTGTGTTGAAGCTGATGCAACTCGTTATGATGCATTTGGCGCACACGCTTTAGATCCAAATTACGTTCTGCAACGGCGAGAAATTAGATTATTTATATGCAAAATTATTCAAGTCAAACTAACCCTCAATTTTTTTGGTCAATGCTACCACTTGATTCTGTATGTTGATAAAGTCATCCATGCTGATTTCCTCATTGATTGTTTCCAATTTTTTAATTTTCTGTAAAGAATAATTAATTATATCATATGGCATATGGCATATGCGATGCTTACATCAGCGATGCGTCCCAATGTGTGCTTCCTGGTGATTAGAAATAGGCGTGTATCACTGATCTCGTAACGCTTTTGACTCATGTACCGCAGCTCTCGCTCGACGAACTGCTTCATGTAGTCGGACCTATTGGTAGTCAGGGTTTTCATCACAAGGTCATCGAAATGCTCTTCGGTTCCCATGACAATGTTCATTATATATGAAAGGTCCATCGATACACTGGACATGAGAAAGGCAGTACGCTTTTTGGTCTCAGCAGCGATTTTCAGCCTGTGATCCAAAAGGTTAAGAGCGGCAATAAATCGGAGGTATTCTTTTCTGTATTCGTTTGGTTTGAGCGGTGATAGTGTTCTAGTATTTTGTCCGCGCTTATAGTATTCACTCATTTTACTATTCAAAGAATAATTGAATTCCCGCTCAATCATATAGTTAGTAAATTCATGGTGTAGCTGATCCATTAGCTTGCTCTTATCAAATTTGTTGGAAGCAAGATTGATTGCAATGTCTGCCTCCGCTTTGTTGACGACTTGATTAATTATTTCGGTTAGGAAACCTTTTGCCAGCTCCATCCATTCTTCCTTATAAGTTGGCTCAGGTTCAATGAGGGAACCTAATCGAAAGCCGTGGACTAAAGCTTTTTCGAATGTAAAATTGGTTTCCTTTCTTACAGGCGGCTGGAATATCTCGAAATCCACAGAGTCAAGTCCGTCGGAGTTAATGGTTATATTATCAGCTGAGCTAGTGTCTATAAGGCCAATCGAATTAGTTTTCGTGCTTTCCGGCGTAATTGTTTTATACTCGGCGCTCTCGCTGTCGTTGCTTTTCTCGCTGCTGCTGCTGCTGCTGTTGCTTTTCTCGTCGATCGGATTTACAAATTTTCCTTGTGTCTCGGATATGGTCTTCGATTTGATCACATTGGGCTCATGCTCTTCAGATATATCCGATAATGATGGCACTATGAAATTTGCTAAGAATTTAACTTTCTCCTCGATTGTGTCCTCTTGGACTAGCTCGCGTACCTCAATTTTTGCATAGTCGTCAATTTTGTCGTATCCCATTATATGGTCAATGTCAAGATTCGTTTCTTCGTCCGAGTGTGATTCATTTTCCTTGGACGAACTGGAATGCCAAAGTGGCTGCAGAGACTCACGCAGATTACTTTCGTCCTCCAGATCGTCCGAGGAATCTTCATCAACCATAAAATAATAGCTCGTCGCCTCGACATGCTTCTCAGTTTCGTCAAAGTCGACGCCTATGTCCTTTAGCTGGGACTTATCCGTCTCTTCATCTGAGGTGGAGGCGCCCGGACTGAAGCTACTTGCAACTTCCATCGAACAATTTGTTTTTTAATTATTTATATATATATATATGTATATATTTTTTTTTGTTTATTTTTTATTTTGAGTTTTTATTGTATTTTTTTTTGTTTTTAATTTTTTTTTTTTTGTGTAGTGTGTGTTTGTTGTGTAATGTGTGTGTGTGAATGACTAAAAATTCTAGCTGCCATAACTGACAATGGAAATCTGAAAATTTGGTTAGTCTACTTGTTTAAATTTAATATCAATTAACTGAGCTTTCAGATCTTGCATATATTGCATTACATTTGATTGATTTGTGTAAAAAAATAAATTGAAACAGCAACGAAAATGATTTCGATTTACAATATAAATATTTCTATTGCATACTTTTAGGCTTTTAATTAAAGTAATATAAACTCACTTAGAAATGAACTGATTAAAACGTGCTTAATATCGCATTTTTATTTTTGTGTGAGGTTTATTTGTTTATTATATATTTATGTTTATAAGTTGTCTGTAGAGTCGATGAAAATTGGATAATATAAATAAGTACTTCTGGTTTTTGTGCTACTCAAACGCATTGTGTTTCCAATTCAGCTATACGTTGGGACGTTTGCTTTATGGCATGCTTTAGGTCCATGATTGAAGCCTTCTTATTATTTATCTTGTCCACACTTTCATCATAGTCGTGCAATAGAGATGGCATGAATAACAGTGCGCCCTGGTAGCTTAGTTCAGTAAGTTTTTTACGCAGATCCCTATGAAGGGTTTTGCCTTCTTTGAGACTTTTGATCAGCTTGCCCTCTTGCTCTGCCATGTCAACCAGCTTAATTTGACTTGTTGCCAGTTTGGTGACTATCGCCAAACTTTTCTCATGTATGTGCTGGGTCTGATGCAATGCAGCATGATAGTCGAGACGCATCCTTTTTAATTCAGCGTTACGTTCTGCAATATTTGAATAGACAAAGTTGAGAGAAAGAGCTTACATATTAGCATGAAAATAATTCAAAATAAAAATAACCTTCAATTTTTTTATACAATGCTACTACTTGATTCTGTATGGTAATGAAATCATCCATGCAGATATCTTCATTGATTGTTTCCAATTTTTTGATTCTCTGCAAAAAGAATGCGATTGAGATTCATTATGCAATACATAATTCTAGCGTTACTCACGTCAACTATGCGACCCAATGTGTGCTTCCTGGTGATTAGAAATAGGCGTGTATCACTGATCTCGTAACGCAGTTGACTCATGTACCGCAGCTCTCGCTCGACGACATGCTTCATGTAGTCCGACCTATTGGTAGTCAGGGTTTTCATCACAAGGTCATCGAAATGCTCTTCGGTACCCATGACAATGTTCATTATATATGAGAGGTCCATCGATACACTGGACATTAGGAAGGCAGTGCGTGTTTTAGTGTCTGCAGCGACTTTCAGCCTGTGATCCAAAACCGTTAGAGCTTCTCTGTATTTCTTGAAATGTTCGTTGCTGTCGCTGAGAATCGCGAACGGTCTTGCATTTTTCCAACGCTTGTAATATTCAACCATTTTGCTGTTAAGAACTGCATTATACTCTTGCTCGAACAAATATTTGTCTTGTAATTCAATTAGCTTTCGAATGATCTTTTCCTTATCCAATTTATTTTTCGCCTTTTCTGTATTTTGATAATTTGTTACTTCTTCGACAACAGTATCAAACATTTCGTATAGAAAATGTTGTGTTATTTGGGCTAATTCCTCGTGCTGGCGGCGCTTTAGGGTCTTCGTCTGTTCGAGAGCTTCATGGACTACGTATACTTTCGCATCAGTTTGGGCTTGAAGAAACACATCTATATCCTCCTTATCATGTGACAGAGAGTGTGTTAATCCTCGCAGCCTTAAATCGAGGTTGTCCAAGTTGGCAAGGATGTCATCATCGAGCGATAATTCGACGGAGAGCGTCTCCCTCTGATCCGCATCTATTGTTGACCTCGGCGTTGACGATGGCGTCGTCTTTGCTGTCTTTGACGTCGACGACAACGACGACGTCGATGCCACTGGTTCCTCAAGATTTACGTTTCCTTCAAATCCATCATTTGTTCCACGTTCACGCTTGGATTTTCTTTCAGACCTGCGCGTCTCCGTAAAATCTGATATTGATGGCAGTGTGAACTGTTGGAGAAAATTCGCTTTCAATTTTACAGTATCGTTTGCTATCGAATATTCTTCACGTTCATCATCAGCGTCAGGGTAATCGTACTCGTTATGGGCCAACAGTCGATCAATGTCTTTTGAATCCAATCCACACTTCCTCTTGCTCGTTTGCTTTTCCGTCACTTCCTCCTTGCTGTCGCTCTCTACCTTTTCAAAATGCTCAACTGCTTCAACTCTTTCATTTGGTTCATCTGTGTCAAAATCATCATAGTCCGTTCCGTAAATCAATATGCTACCAATTGTGTCATCCTGCCCTGATTCACTGCTTGATATCTCGATTTCTGATTCCTCGTCAAATTGCACCGTAGCCAAAAGATCATTTTTATCATGATCAAAGTCATGCAGAGAGGGGACGCTTACCAAGCTTGCAGGTGATTCGCTCATTATGAATCTATGGAACTGTTCTGCGTATAGTGTAATATATTTTATTTATTTATATATTTGTTTTTTTTGTATTTTTGTGGTCTGTGTAATGTTTTTTTGCAAAATTTTAGTTTTTATAATTTTTTTTTTTGTTTTTGTTTAGTTGTTTTGTCTGTAGTGTCTGTTGTGTAGATCGTTTGTGTTGTGAATGATTCCAAATTATAACATTTCACTCCAAAGCAATTTGATTCATAGAAAAAAAAAAAAAAAATATACATATATTTTTTGCTATTTAATAATCTAACAATATAATAATCTAGTCATTTCATAATTGATTGAAAAATATCTTAGGTAATTATTAATTACAATTATGATTATTTAATTCTAGTGAATACATCTAACTAAAATGAGTATAGCGCTTTTGTGTATGAAAATATAAGTTAACAATATTTTCAGTCAACTAAGCGCAGTTATATATGATGTAAATTTAAATAGAATAAATTTATTTAAAATAATATATACATTTAAAAATGTTATTCTTGCATATTTTTGTGCTGAAAATTAAATCTATTGGAACTTCGTTTATCTTCAATCGAGTGCGATTTGTTTCTGATTTTGGGTCGCCTAAACAAATCTTAGCTCAACTTAAAGTTGATTGATGGCCTGGCCAACCTATGACATTGATAAATTTTTAATAAATAATACCAAAGGCAAAAAGAGAAAAAAGCAAGGGAAGGCGAATACAGTAGGGGGCGAATACAAATTTGAGTGTGAGTCAAGAGAAATTTGTCGCTGGGACAGCAGGTGGCAGTTGATTTGCATAAAATGTTGCAGTGCGCCGTGTCGTAAGCCAAACAAAACGCAATTTGCATAAAAAATATACCTAAAATGCAATATTTTCTGGCAATAACTGAAAGGAAAAGTCGTGGGAGCAGACCAGCCAATGGATACTCTGCTCTGGCAGCTACAAAGCTCAAAGCAAGAAATAAATATATTTAATAATCATTAATATTAAATTAAAATATGACAATATTAGGATTTTAATATATTTTTCAACATTAAATTTATTAAAATATTTTAAATATAAATTATTAAAAATATTTTTATTGATAAAGCTACTTTTATACATTTAGTCCAATGAAATATGCTAATATTAAATATTTATTATTAACTATAATATATGTAGTTTATTAATAAATCCTAGATTCCCCACTACAGTTTTCCTCCAGGGTATAAATGGCAAGGCGCAAATATAAAATTTGAATTCACTTAAATTATGCAGTAGCTCTTCTTCGTCAATTCGCTTGGTTATGTTTCATTTCATGTCGTTTCTTTCCAACTTGGCTTTTTGATGTTGCCAAAGAGAGAGAGAGAGAGAGAGAGAGAGAGAGAGAGAAAGGCAAGAAGCTGCTATGCCACGAAATTCCACAGGGAATCCAAATTCAATCAGCCCTTTGCAATGAATCCACTCTCGTTTTTTTCCCCATATATATAAGTAGCGCCGGCTTCAAGACTTTGACTGCTAAAGCTGTTAAATATTTGCTTTTAATTTCGCCAAAGGCAACACCTTTTGGACTTTACAGTTATCGCTCGTCCTTAATATTGTTTCGTGTCCGGCTAAATGTTGGCCCAAAAGGCGTCAACCAAGCGATGCTTACGCTTGACAGGCGACGCATCTTAAAGTTTTCCCTAGCCAGCCAAAAGATACGTTTTATAGCAACTCATTCAGCTGGGCCTCGCTTTTCGGTTGAGAATGCGACGCACGTCTGGCCTAGCCTTTACTTTATTACGGCTTTTACTTATCGACGGCCGTTGTTGACGCCGCTGCGGATTACGAGTGGCATTTGCGTTTCGGCCCAGGTCAATGGCGCATGCCTTGCCCTCACTGTGGACTACGTTCCCATCTATAGCTCATACGCACCGTAGTACTCATTTATATGCTTATCAATTGAAAAACTAAGCTGTTGATTTACTTATGAAACATACATTCCACTATTTCGTATTATTCATGCTCAAGCTACATGATTTGTGAAATTTTCGCCGAGTCTCATGTCGTCTCGTCTCATCAAATAATCTGAAATTGCGCGTTCAGTTAGCTAGCTACGTTGATCTCTGCTGATCTGCCTTATCAATTCGAATGGAGAAGCGGCTCAATTTGTATTTATTATGCAAGTCAAGTTGAAAATTTGCACAAAGATAGCATGCGGTCCACTCAACTAAATTGCGCATTCTGAAATTTGAATAAGCATGACGTGCTTGTGCGGCGATAGCCGGCACTCAAATGCCCTACATTTTGTACTTTAATATATATTTTTTTATTATTTAGTATTTTATTAAGTATAGAATCTGTACATCATTTTAGTAACTATATTTCAATAATAATATAAAAATATTTAATACATGAAATAATCAATTCCTATAAATATTTAAATAAATAAATAAATATTTAATTTTGATATTAATATTTAGATGATTATGAGAGTATTATTTCTATATATGCTTTTGGACTTATAACTATATATTATTTAGAATTTTTTCTCATAACGTTCTCCTTGCACCGTCACATATCTCATCACATCTTCATAGTACCTTCCCATTGTCAGGGCATCAGCGTGATTCGCTTTTATGCAAAAGGCGTGTTGTGCAAGCAGAGTAAAGCCGCATTAGGCTGAATTTCTCAATTTGGAATCGCTCGCTGCAGCGCTTGCAGCTCGATTGCTAATCGATGCTGCTTTAATTGGACGCGGCGAGCATTATCAACTGAGCAGAGGCTGGCGAATCAGAGTTCCACAATTGTGATAATAAGCTTTCATAAGAAACTGTCTGGGCAGCAGCGCGATTCAGTCGAGCAGAACCAGGCGTAGCGCGAGCAATACACAATTCAAGCAATCCAAAAATAAATAGAGCAACAGATTTATCAACTAAGCAGGATGCGTTCATGGATGCTAATCACAATGCTGGCGGCAGGGCTGATGCTGGATGTGGCATGGACCTTGCCGGTCGATCTGGACGATATCCAGGAGACGCCTGAGACCGATGAGCAGCTGCTGCAGTTGCTGGGTGGCCAGAGCATGGAGAACACGGAACCGGAGCATCTGCGTGCGCGTCGCCAGCCCATTGAGGATCCGGATCATGTCGATTGCCACTCGCACTCACATTCGCATTCGCCCGCACATCCCGATGAGCTGGCACATGAGCTGCACGGACACAAGCACCAGGCACGTTTCCGACGGGCAGCTGATTCGAGCGGCTCATCAGAAGAGAAAAAGCTCGGACAAGAGAAAGAAGAGAGCGATTCCATTAGCTCATCCGGGGAGCGTGTCGTTACCGAGTCACTCGTAATAGAGGACACAGCGAGGGAACAGGTGCAGGACAAGGACGACAGTTCGTCCGAGGAGAAGCCAGAGCGTCAGAAGCGAGCAGCTGCAGCGGACTCCAGTGGCTCATCTGAAGAGGCTGGAAAGGATAAAGCGAAGGAACAGGCGCAGGACAAGGACGACAGTTCGTCCGAGAAGAAGCCAAAGCGTCAGAGGCGAGCAGCTGCAGCGGACTCCAGTGGTTCATCTGAAGAAGCTGGAAAGGACAAAGCGAAGGAACAGGCGCAGGACAAGGACGACAGTTCGTCCGAGGAGAAGCCAAAGCGTCAGAAGCGCGAAGCTGCAGAGAATTCCAGCGAAGATTTAGAGTTACAAACAGCGGCGAACGGTGTTGAAGATGACTTTGACGCAATCCCAGATTCCGAATATGCCCAGGGCTGCGGCATACTCGACGTGAACTCCAATGAGCTCAACAATGATACCATCTATAAGGAATAACCCTAGACCAATAGCCATATTTAATTAATCGTATTTTTAGCAAATAAAACAAAAAAGAAGACAAAAATTAAATTAAAGAAAAAAATTTTGTTGATTATTCTTATCGGTGAATGTTATTAACCACAACTGTTGTTGTTGTTGTCACCTCTGGCCGTCCTTGATCAAAATAAGTGGGCAGCAGCTGATAAGGAGCCGCTGTCCGAATTGTTCTCTGACTTTTCCTCTCAAGTGTCAACTGAATTTTTTCGCCTAAAGACTTATTTTTAAACAGTTTTACAACAATCTCGCATTACAAAGGGCAAAGGTGAGAAGGTAACATACAATTCAAGGGAAAACACTTTGTAAAAGTAACCCTTGGCTGTTTGAATACATATATTTTATAATAAATATATATTATATATAGATCAAAATGCTTAAATAGAAATATGTAAAACTAGAAGACAAAAATGGAAATAATCTTATCTACATATATATTAAAGTAGTAGTAGTAGAATACCAGAGTTAGAGCTCAATGAATAGAAATATTAAAGTGAAAATGTTATTCTATTAAATCTGTGGAATTTTTTGTTTACAGAGTGTATAGAACACATATTTTCTACTCAATTATTCACTGATTTTTAATCAAACGCAATAAATATTATTAATCAACTGCCGAGTTCAGTAACTGCGAACAAAAAATTCTTAATTCTCAATAATTATAAATTTAATTTTACACGAATCCATTGACATTTTGACACTAAGCAGATAAGCGGCACGCTTATAAACAAAAATAATCAGAGGTAAACAACATGAGTAAACAACATTAGGGAAACTCTAGCTAATGATACTTTCCCCAGAAATATTTCTACATGAAATGATCAAAATGGAACAAAATCTCTGAAATTTCTCTGTGGGCTGAAAAAAAAAATGTGAAAACTGCATGAAAAACAAGGAATGAATAGAAAACACGCAACAACAATTCACAAGTGGGGAAAACTTTTCATGGACCTATCCCAATGAGTAGAGCAGAGCAGAAGCAAACATGAAAGATCAAGAAAACGTGCGCGCGATTATAATTGGAAATAATCAACGACTGCAATATACCCAATATATGAGATGTTAGATAATTAAGTGGAGTGTATGTTTATACGGATGGGTTATGGGGAATAATTTATTTTGAAGCTTACAATGCCAAGATTATTATTCATTTAAATTCGATTAAATATTTAGTTTTATTTGATTTATTGCTAGCAGATAGATCTAAAACTCTTGAATATTTTGCCTTAGCATTGATTTCATAGTTACAAACTTGTTCAGATTAATGAGCATTTACTTTTAGACTCACTGTTTACCATTCATAAGCGATTCATATCCGTTTATATAAAAATTCACATGGCAAATGTAGTTAAGAGCCAACGAAATGCAGCTGCTATAGCATTATATATTTACTTTTATAGCTAACCATCCCTAATTACTTATTTTAATTGAATATACCCCACTTGAGGTTAAGGTGTAATGAAAGCAGCAACTGTCGCCGTGCGGCTGGCTATAAAAAAGCGAATGCACTACAAAGGCAAACTTCTCGAAATTGTTTGAGCGCTTTGCCTTTTGGTTTTTAGTTGCTCGAGTCGTGTGCAATCGTGCGGAAGCCAAAGAAAATTGTGGAAGCCTCAGCAAAAAGAGCGAAGAGGAAAACCCCAAGCAAACATTCATTAAGTTCTGCGCTTCGAAAAAGAAAATGGAATAAATTATAAAAAAGCGTTGCCCTCATAATTAAAACGAATTAAAATTCTGGAGAAAATTGGCTAAGCCGTAAATCTGAAATACCACAGAGTGGAAGGAATGAAGTTTTCAGTCTAATTGCTGCATTGTGCAATGCGTGAAATTCTGATTATATAAGAGAGGCAAATGAGAGAAGTTTGCATTAGTGGAAAACTCAATTGACTGCGAATTTTCGCACAGTCATCGCCCAGCGGAAAGCCCGACGAAAAGCCGGCAAAAAAAAGCACACTAAATTATTTATTTTTGCATGGGTAAATTTTGTGAATTTTGACAGGCGCAGCAAAAACGAGAGGAACGACAAAAAATCGGTGGAAAGGCAGATGGAAGAGAAAAACTATTGCAACAAAGTGTAAAAAAAGAATAGACAACTAGAGGGAGACAGATAACAAGATACACAGTGAGCGAGACGGAGGGGGAGATTGCAAGCGTGCGAGCGCACAAGATTTATAAATAAAACGAGCAGCCACGCACAAAAAGAGCAGCGATAAGAGCCGTAGGAGAGGGAGAGCGTGAAAGATACGAAACGTAAACAAACAAAGGGAATAGCAGATATAAAAGAACAGCATCACGATGCCGGAGCCCTTGGGCCTGCTGTGGTCCACGCCCGAGACAAAGAAGAAGGCGCCCATTATCAAAGTATCCTGCGGCATCGGCGACACGGACGGCTTTCCCGCTTTCGATGTCGAATCGGAGGTCTACGACTCGAAGGACGATGAGAAGTGGGGTTTCCTGATAACCGGTGGCGCCGAATTTCATATGCCCTTAACTGTCTTTCAGGTGAGCGAGATTGTTCCCCTTCCGCACTCTACCCCGCCTTCCACTGAGAGCCTGCACAACTGTCGACCCATTCCATATTCCATTCCATTTCGCTATACCAACTTCCAATTTCCGTTCGATGCTTTTGTCTGCCAATGCGACAGCTGCAATTTTTATATTGCTCGTTTTGGTTGCTGGCCAAAAGCGTTTTACGCAAATGCAGAGACATTGACTAGAAGATGCCCTGTAAATAGCTACAAGAAGATCTTACGTTCATATATGTATAATACTTATAATAATTTAATTATTTTTTAATATTTATACACATTTAAAGAATAGTTTTTATACGTTATAAAACTTAGAGCTTTTCAGAATATTTTGATAAATTATTTATATAAATTTTCATTGATTCTGTTAATATTATCAACATTGAAGATATATCTAATAGCAATTAGAGGCATTTCAGTATATATTCAGCTCATCTACATCTACCTCACATATATACCCTATGCTTACATCGACTTGCTGCGTTTACAGGGTATCAAAAAGAAACGCATGCAACATTTTGTCGTATGTTTTCGATTTATTCGGCTATGACGAAATCAACGCAGCCAGCGAAATAAATATTTTACTTTGCTCCGGCTCGTGCGATGGGGCGTATGAGCGACAATTGCCGTGTGGCGCTGAAAGACAAAGGCGAGACAAGCAGCAAGCGGCAAGCGGCAAGCGGCAAGTGGCAAGCGGCTTTGCTGTAGCTCGTTCTCATTTCAAATCGTTTTTCTACTTGAGCAAAAGGGAATGCGCAAAAATTTGGGTTAGCAAGTATTTTCTATGTAGTATTGCTTTCTGTTTTGACGTCTGGCGATGGCTTTTCCGTTTAGCAGCAGAAAAATAAATTGTTATTATTTCTATGCCGCTGCACATGCGCTACACAAAATGGGGCATGCACGAAGCGAAGTGCAAGTTGTAATTCAGCTAGGGTTAAGTTTTTAATTCAAATTAAATGTAGAACATAATTGTAATATATATATTTATTATTATTAATATTATTATTTTTTATGGTACGTATATTTTTTTAAAATTATATATTTATTTTTTGATGTCCTGAAGTATCAAAATATTTTATATTTTATATGTATATATTTAGAAATATTTCTATTAAAAATAGGGGTATTCCAGTTAATTAAATTCTTAAAAATATAATTTTAAAAAATTATTCATTTCATAAAATAATTAGTATATAATAATTGGTTAAGCAAATGAATAAAATTTTGTTAGGGATGCAAAATAAATATTATATTACAACTGATTTATAGAAAAAATTCAGTTTTATATGTTGAAGAAGGTTCCGAAATATACATAAATGTATATTAATCATTTCATATATCATATAAATCATATATTTTATACAGCTCATATAGCTCATGTACAAATCCATTTACCCAAAATTCTTGCTGTAGCGCACAGTTGACGTAGACTATTTTAAAATACAGGCAAGAAGTATCTCATTGTGTTTTCTTTTCGGGAGCACGCGTACAGAGCTACAATATATGCATGCATAAATACATAAGCGTCTATAGCCAACTGAAGCTGTCTGTCATATATCATTGCCTGAGTATATAGAAGAGTCTCTACTAGATATACATATATGAGTCTGTATATTTGTTCGACCTAAACTCGAACTACGCAACATTTGGGGATCAATTGCTCGTTGACTGTCGGTACGGTCGGTACGTGAAAGCGAAAGTTGTTGCAGGGTATCAAATAGTATATATATATATAGTAAATCAAAATCAATGCAAAGAGAAAGTAAAAATTTGACATCGACTTGCAGGTAACGCCCAATAGTATTGCCGACAAATCGGGCATTCGTCTGGGCGATATAATACTCGAGATAAACGAGGAGGACGCCACGCAGCTGACTCTGGCCCAGGCACACGAGCGCATCAACGCAACGCCCAAGAAAGTGCAGCTCGTCATGCGCAAGTAGGTTGCCCCCAATCATAGAGATATACCAAAATTATTCACTATATATATATAAATGTATGTGTGTATATCTTCTGCTTATGCAATGTGAACAGCATGGAGGAGGATGATCCCACGGGCATGTTTGAGGCCGGCGAGGAAAAGTCCATAGTGATGCGCGTGCCGAAGCCGATGCCGCCGCCAAAGGGTGAGTCCAAGTCGCAGTCGAAGCACGACTAGAGCATGACCCCTGTAATACTCCAGAATCCTTTGCCCTGCGCCCGCCTGGCCTATGTGTTGCATCGTGTGCTGCTGGACTTTTGGTTGGTTTTTGATATGTATATTTTGTTTTTTTCGTAGACTTCACCCCCACCCCATTGCTTGGCTCGCGTTGCTGGCATCCCATTATGTGGCAAGAGCCGCCCGAGCCGCCAAAGCCCAAGAAAAAGAAAACCAAAACCCAGATAGATGAAGAGGGCAACGAGGTGATCATTGAATTGAGTGAGGACGAGTCCTCGGACGAGGAGGAGCAGGTGATTAAATCAATTGACATATTCAAATGCAATTAACACCTGTTCACTCACTCACTCTCTCTCTCTTTCTCTCTCTCTCTCTCTCTCTCTCTCTCTCTCTCTGTCTCTGTGTCTCTCTCTTTATCTCTCGTTGGTGCCCCGCGTGCAGGAGCTGCCGCATCATCGCATTATACGGAATATTAAGCGTTTCTTTGCGGAGGTCGGCGACAATGAGGAGCTGCGCAGCAGCACCATTGAGAATATGCTGATGGCTCTGCCCACCGCATCCAAGTCCAAGTGAAGACGCACAACCAAAAACCCAACAGCCCAACAGCCCCCAGCCACGCCTCCAACTAACTTGCTGCTGTACTGTTATATCGCTTTCAATTTGTATCTGTGTCTGCATCTGTATGTGTGTGCGTGTATATTGTATCTATATCTACTGCAATAAATAAGAATCATCAACTAGAATCATAAACTATATATCTAGCTACAACTGTAGCATCGCTTGCTTCTCGCTCTGGTCGCGTGCTGTCCAGCTCGATTGAGCTGCGCCTGCTGGAGATGCAGAGGAAACTCTCTGCCATAGCTGAGATACCCAAGATACTGACCTCAACGCTGCAGACGGTTTCGCAGTCCTTTGGCAGCTTGCAGGACGTGGAGCTGTCCTATATGCAGCGCAAATGCTCCTACGATGAGGATGCGCTCGACTATGAGCTGGCCACTGAGGACGAGCATGAGCACGGGGATGGGGATGAGGCTGAGTCAGAGGAGGCGGGACAGGAGGATGATCTGGTGCAGGTGCCAGAAGACGACGATGACGAAGAGCGGTTATTGCAACAGTGTGTAGCCAAGCAGCTAAAGGATTTGACGCCGGAATCCGATTATGCATCGGAAGTCAATTACGCGACAAATGAGCTGAATGATGAGCCAGACGAGGAGCTAGACACGGCTGATGAGGATGTGGATGAGGATGAGAATGAATCAGCACTCAAAACGGTTTACTATATGAAGCTGCCTGCTGTTAGCTATAGTGAACATGATGGCAGTGATGGGCACGAGGCGGAGGAGCGGGATGGGGATGATGATGACGATGACGATGACAGCGATTTCCTGAGCACCACTTACACCTGGAATCTGCGAAATGTGCCCAAGCTGCGCGTTAGCGACGCTGAAAGCCCACAGCTGGAGACGCCTGCCAATGCGTCTGACACATCAAAGGTGCGCCCTGCCACGCCTACGCCAGCGCCCACACCCAAGCCCACATGCACACCCACACCAAAGGACATGCTGGAGGCCACAATAGCATCGCCGACCGAGTCACAAAAGGTAAAGCCAATCAAGGCGGCGTCTCATTAGGGCAACACCTCACCCATTCGCTTACCACTGTCAACGTATTTTTTTTCGCTTACCATTGCAGCTGCTTTTTAAACTCGACAATCTGGAGCGCAGCTGGCCCTGGGCGGATCGGGAAAAAATCATCTACAAGTGAGTCGAATTTGTCAGTTGATGTAGCATGAGTTAATGAGAGAGACAGTTTCTGTTTGAGATATATGTATACTCTATATATCGAATATTAATATAAGAATATGTAGAATTCGTCATCTACATGTTAAAAGAGAGAAAAGGTTAAAGACTAATTAGGATAAATTTTATATAAATTTCTTAAATAAATTTTATTTATTTTATTTTCAGGCAATCAACTTGTCATCTGGTGCCACGCAAGCCGCTGGGCATAGTCAGCCAGCGCGTGCAGCTGCTGGCCAAGCAGGAGCTGCAGCGCAAGGATAAGACGCAGTAGGCAAAGAATAAAAACAAATCGCATTGACTTCTAACTGCAGCGGCGGCGGCAGCTGCTGCAGCTGGCAGACAGCCAACTTTTAATTGGGTTCATTATGCAAATGCGCCAGCTGCAAGAAAAAACAACAACTTATCACAGCCATCACACGAGCCGTATGCGCAATCTACATTTGAAATATGCTAAAGACACTGCCTGCTGAAATAGATTTTTTAGATATCTCTTTTTTATGAAATACTGCTGCCTTAACGTGTCCCACTTAGCATGTACAAGTTTGAGATTATTTCTTTCATAATAATTGAACAAAATTTATGCGAATTTTGTAAATTAGTTTTCTATAGAAACAGTTTAAATAAACTTAAAAATTAAATGAAATTCCCTTTTACACGCAACTGGAATGCACGTGACAAATTATTTAGTCCCATCACTAATTAATGCTTTGATTCTCTTTTATGTGTGGATTGCAAAGACAGAACTTGCAAACGCGTTTGACGCGTTGATCTTAGCTTTAATATATAGCCGCTAGAGCGCGCTGTAGCTGGAGAGAGCGAAATAGCAATTTAGTTACTGCGTGTCTCTCCTGTTGATCGGTCGTTGAAACTGTGTGTGTGCATTAAGTTCTTAAAGAAAATCAATTTGTGTATGTTCCAAATATAAAGCTAAAAGCTCTGTGTGTTATGAAAAGTGCAGTGTTATTAAAAAGTTTCCACAGTGAAACTAAAAGCATAAGTTAAATATTTTATTCGTGCATTGCGTTGCTCAGATTTTTTTTCCTGTAAAGAAAAAATATGGCGCGCACCTAAATGCAATCCACATCCAGTGAGCGCATAGAAAAGAGAGCAGGAACTTGAGTAAATTTAAGCAAATCTCTGCAGAAGCGGTAAAGAGTGTGAGAGAGAGTGCAAAAATGTTTGCTCTCACTGGAATGCTGAACGATATTTATAAGGTATGTATGTATATAACTTTTATAATTTTATTATGTTACATGGAAGGACTAAAAGGATATATGTATGTATCTGCATATGTACACAAATTCTCATGGGAATTCTTAACATGGTTTGTGTGCTGCATTTAAAACATAAAATTATTTTTTACTGAAATTCTTTAGAATGCATTCGTTTTTAACGAGACAACTTTTGCAATGCGTGTTGTTGTGTTGTTGACTATCCGTTGGAATCGCTCTTGAGCTGTGGCCCTAAAAGGTGTCCAGTTCAGGTTGCTTTAAGTGCTCGCACAGGCAGGAACTGTGAATTCTTTGTGTTGCTGCGCTTGAGCATCTCAAAGCAACGGCTTTTTATAAGTTTTTGTTGCTGGCTCGAGGTCTTAAGGCTTGTCATGCACTTAACTTGGCACTCGACTCGACACTCGCACACACACACACACAGTAGCACACATTCTTACATACTCTTACACATGTATGTACACTCACGAACACGCACTCAATTAAACAGCTCATTTCAAATTTGTAGCACGTTTGATGAGCAAAGTTTTGGCTTGGCTGGCATTTAAGTTACACGCTCTACAAGCTGTGCGAGCGCGAAATATGAAAAGCCAGTCGAGAGGGTTGTACATGTACACATAATACAGCCACACATACTTGCACAGCACACACAATCTCTCTCAATTTAAAGCGCAATAAAATGACACTTAACACGTTGCTTTACATGCATAAAACATGGGGCCAGCAGCAGCTACAGCTCTTGGTTGCATTTGATGTGCAGCAAATGCGGCGTGTGGCATGTGGCATGTGGTGTGTGGCTAGTGGCATGCCATGGCAACCTGCCACACAATCATCAGCAACATCATTAAAGGTCCATCAAAACAACGCGGCTGCAAAAATGGCAACGCGGCCAAGTGTTCACAGAAGTCAACTTCTGTACAAATCTGTTTCAATAACTGTCAAACAAAACGCGAACACTCTACTTCCCACCGTTGTTGTTGTTGTCGTTGTTGTTGCTGGTTACCGTTGTGCTGTCGACCAAAATTAGCACAGCCATAGACAAAGGACTCGGCAATGGAATTTATCATGCTGTACAATTACAATTTCTGTCTAAAAGGACCAACGTCCTGTTGAGAGCCCAAGGGCTTTACTCCATGAATAGGTGCAGGAAGAGCAGGAGCAGGCGACGGCAGGAGGATTGTCCACCATGATTGTGAGCCGGAAGGTTCATTTCATAAAATCTCAACAGCAGCGTAAAAGTTTGCTAATTAACAGATAATTTGTTAGCTGCTTAGCACTTAATAACACTTACCTGAGCAACAGTGTTGCAAAAGGCGCAATTAGGCTTAATGTGCAGCTGCTTTAAAACGGATTCGAAGTGCTCTCGAATGGCTTAGTACTAAAAGCGCTATAAGCACATTGTGAAGTGCTCAATGAAAATACATTTAATTTGATTTATATTCCATTTAATATATTTAGATATACATATATATTTCATATACACAGATCTCGAAGCATTCATCTATAGTAGTGAAAAGCGCTTAGGTTAAAAATGTTAGAAAGCTCAGCTTACCACATAAATATAAATACATATATAGGTTTATATATTGATATAGCCACATATGCAGGAATAGTTAGGGACACATAACACTTAAGACAACAATGATATTTGATATCCACGTAAATTCTTAATAATCATATAATAGTTTAGCGATTTAAATATATTTATATTCATATGTATGTATGGATCAAATATGCCTTTGAACTTTATGCTACTTGCATTTCGTTTTTTACAACACTGACGCCAGCTTTTAGTCGTTCCATCTGGAAATTTCGCATTCTGGATTTCAATTTCACAGCAATTTTATAGGAATTATCCCAAGTCTAGGAATGACAAGTTTTTTTACTGCAGTGTTGAAAAACCTTTGATTTTGTTCGATATTATGGTGAGCTATATCAATGGGATAGATATTTCTGGTACACACTGAAGCTTGCACTGCACTATATTTAAAGTGTGTAATTTTTAGGGTTAGTTAGTTTAGCACATCTTTTGTTTATCAACACTGTTGGTAATTCAAGCATTTATCAACACATTTTTCCGATTAGTTGCTGGGAAATTGAGCTGATTTATTGGGAAATGCAACTTTACAATGATATTATATTTATTGTTGCTAGAATTTCCACATTGTTCGTTGTGATGATCGGGCGACAATTGATTTGTGTTGTTGTTGTTGTTGTAGGTGGGGTGCATTCCATTATTGTTTGGTTTAACTTAATTTTTGGGCGGGTAGCTACTTAAAATTGGCTTAGACTATGAGAGATTGTTGTAACAGAATTGTTTTTGTGACTGCGTTTGTTTTTGTATAGTTTAAAGCGCCTCATCGGCTATATTTTGTTGCCCACTGCCATCTACGCTGACAATGACAACACCTGTAGATGCGCCTGCAATCAAACCTGTGCCATTGCGCTCTTCAGCTGTATTCGTTGTTGCGGTTGCTGTTGCTGCTGTTGCTGTTGCTGTTGCACCTGCTGCCTCGGCAACATCTTCAGCTATTGTCGTCATCAGCTGCGGCTGGAGCGCCACCTCCACTTGCATATTGCCAGCTGCCAGCTGCAACTGGGTATTGGCCGCGGTTTCCTCCATAAGCGGCTGTCGCTGGTGCGCATTATCTACGTTGGAGCGTCGCAGGAAATGCAGTTTCTGACGCCAGCCATCGATGAGACCGGACGTGCTGCCGCCGGCGCCTGTCAAGGCCATACTCTGGCTGCGCGAGCGTTGTTGTTGCAGCTCATGTTGCTGTTGCTGCTGCTGTTGTTGCTGTTGCTGGTGGTGATGGGGTGCTGAGGAGGCGCGTCGCTTAGCTGATGACGATAGATCCTTTAGTCATACCTTCTCCTCGCCAGGCACTGGCGGACCGCAGCGAACGAACTACAATCAAAAGAACTGAGAATTTGCTATCATGGTGGTTGGCAGGTTGCGAAAACGGTGCGATTCTCTAAGTAAACTCGTCTGTATGTGTGTCTGTGTGTATTTTACATGCATTTATATCATCAGCAAGAGTTAGTGCTGTTTGCCAATTGTGTGAGTGTGTGTGTGTGTTATTGCATTAGCTTAGCTTGCATTACGCATACGCGCCATAGCCCCGTTTTAATCTAGCCAGAAAAGAAAATGAAAGCATTGTGAAGCTCATATGAAATCTTACCGAGACCTGAGTGGCTGTGTAGGAATTGGTCCGAGGTCGACTACTGAAGTAGAACGTTCGCCACTTGCGCTTTACTTGGGCAATCACCTCGCCGTTGAAGAAGCAGAATAATGTTGCCACGCACAAGCCCTGCGAATACAAAATGAGTTTCAGTTGGTCCATGTAGTTGCACAGCCCGTTGAAATATTGTTATTGTTCTTCTCTTATTGTTATTGTATCATTGGACGAGACGCAAACGCTGCTACTTAACTCTAATGCAATTTGGTTTATGTGCCAATTTCGGGTCCAATTCAACTGTTGACAATTCATTTTGCGACTAGACGCAGACGCAGACGCAGACCCAGCTGTGGCCACAGCCTGCAAATGTATCTGTAGCTGTATCTGCATCTCTATTTGTATCTCTAGCAAATATTTCTATATCTTTGAATGTGTTGTGTATCACTCAATTGTCGCCTGACAGAGCTGGCGCTGTTTATCATTTGTCAAGCAGAGCAGATGGAGCATGAGTGTGTGTGCACGTGTATGTGTGTGTGTGTCTGTGTGTGTGTGTGTGTTTACCTACGTCTTTATGTCTTTAATGCATATAGTTGCCTACGTGCAGGATCCTTTGTCAGGATTGCTTCATTCACACATTGCTTGCATATAAATGAAATTGGCAAAAGGCAAAAAAGGCTTCACTTGATTGGCAATGCACACGTCCTGAACTGTTCCATAACTCAATCACACTACCAGGCACACATACATGAGCACATTCTGTGCCATAAATATCCTGCCAGTTATACTAAATATAATTGATTGCTTTACTTAATTGACAGAATAATTATAGTAATTATAGTATAGTAGCTTTGCTATTCGCATTATATATTCTGGTAACATAAAGTATTCAAAATATAATTAATGTCTAACTGGTTTAAGGAGCAGTGCTTTGTAGTAGTGCTTTGAGTCTCCTTTCAATTAGTAAAGCTTGCAGTCATCAACGAAATCAAAAAGAATACGATGGATCCATAAGGGAGCCAACCTCAATGAGCGGGCCTGACAACAGGCTTAACTGAATACAGACTCAGCGACGCAGCTGTCCTTGCCCTTTGAGTCCCAAGTGGCTGGAATTTGGAGCAGCTAAAAAGTGTCTTCCCTTGAGAGGCAACTGCCTACAGTTAACCGGAGAGGTCAGCTGTAGCAGTAATTTCTCGAGGTAAAGCTTGCATATACATAAACATAACTTCTGCGGGGCATTTAAACAGAGGCATTTCGTAACTGTTTTTACACTATGTTTCAGAGGGAAATTGCCAGTCGACTTGGATGCTCGTTTTGCTTTGGCTTTGTGGTTGCTGCGCATTTATAAAGATTTTCTACGGGTTTTTGCCTATTCTCTTTTAGCCGTCCGGCTTTGCCCGTAATAAGTCCCCCAGCTGGGCTCACTTTATGTAGGTTGAATATTATTTAGCTAGTTATTATGCAAACTGATGTTTGCCATTACTCAGTTTGAGCAGGATGAGAGTGAGTGAGTGAGTAGAGAGAGAGAGACAAAGAGGTAGAGAAGGAGCAAGCGATAGAGGTGTGTGTGCACAGGCTGAAACATTTTTATGGCCACTTTGTGAATACTCTGTAGAGTCAGTGCCTTTGATTTCAGCGTGACATGCAACTCGGCTCTTGTAGCTGTTTGCAGACGATGATTTGCTAATTACTTGAGTAGCCAAAAAGTGCAAACTGTTTGCAAAACTAATTAGCAAAGTAGAGAGCCAAAAAGTTTGGCTACAAATGGGCTCTCGCTTATGGTCCGGTCCGGCCCCCATTAAGAGAGTATGTGACTTTTGCTGCCAAGTTTTCAATTCAATTTGTATGAAAATAACAACAGCTGCTGCAGTTGCTGCCTCTGCTCTAGATGTCGGGGGTCAAAGATTGAGTTGTATGGCCCAGACACTGATGCTTCCCCACATGCATACATATAGTCTTTATATGCTCTCATATGAGCAAATATTTTTTAATATTTATTGCAAATTCCAGCTGCGGCATTTGATGAATAAAAGTGCCTTGCCATATCAAACAAATTAAAAATTTTTCTTTATTTATTTCTTGCCTTCTTCATATTTCTCTTTGTGCAGCAAGTTGACTTTAATTGCAGCGCACGCTTTGATAAGCCATAGGAATTTCATAGATTGCTCAGCTTTTAAATGTCAGTCGCATATTTCTTGGCTCTTATATGATTACCAAAAGACAGCAGACAAAAAATACTGAACTCGTGCAAAAGTTGGAGGATTTTATTTGCAAGTTCTTGCAATTATAATAAATTTACATTGCTGCAGTTAGGAATTTTATACTAAACACAGAAAAACTATAGTTTATTATAAAACCTGATATGCTAATCTATAAATTCTTCAGCTCAGACGATTGAAGCTGAGTCAAACTAGTTCTTAAGCTCAGTTTGAAATTTTTCAATTAATTTTTAATGGGCTATAATAATAATCAAAAGTTAATTGTAGACGCCAGCACTACTTGTTTCCCTTTTCTTTAACATAAACAGAAGGACATAAAGAAATCCCAAAACTCATTCCCTTACTAGTTTCGGCTCGCAGTGCTGGCCATTGTGCAGCTGATGAAATCATTTCGCATATATAAACTTAATATTATATGGACTTTATGGCGCTTAAAAGTTGTACCGAATCTTTTATGAGAGTTGTGCGCAGTGCAGCCGGCACAATAAATCCGAAATTATATCTGCGCCAAAGTAAAAAGTGCCTCTTGATGAAAACTTTGCAATTTGTGGAGCGACAACAGCAAAAGCAACAACAACAAATACAATACAATAATAAAAAGTTGCTTACTGGCTTTAAAAACATTTGAGCAAAAGTATTTTGCTTTTGCATTTGTCACTCAGCGATTCCTTTTTCTTTATTTTGGGGGCAGCCAAAGAGTAAAGTAAAGTCGCAGATAAACAGCGCATTGTGTTTTACTCGGTTACCCTGGGGATTTTTGTAATTTGAAATTGGGTGGTTTGATGGCAGCAAAACACATATGATTTATATAGCAGCCAGAGCCGAAGCTGAAGCTGAGCTAAACTAAACTTTACCTTGGCATATCCTCTTGTAAAATAAACATTACAATGATTATTATTTTATTATTTATTATTTAATGTCTCTTGTGCTCTTTGAACGTATGCTTGCATTTTCTATTTTGATGCCGTAAATAAATAAAATATTTGCAAAAGTTTGCCGGGAATGAAAGAAATGTCTGTAGTTGAGTGTCTGCCCGATTTGTTTTTACTTCTTTTTCTGCATTGCTTGCTAAAAGTCGTGTAACTGCTGTTCAACTGCAGCGTGTACTGCCACGCCCCCAGGCAGACCACAAGACATGAGAATCTGTTATTTTCGTTTTTCTCCTTTTTTTTTTTGTATATAACTGTAAACATATATAGTATGTAGCAAACCGCAGACATTGAAGCTTACACTTTCGCTTGGTTTTTTATAGTTATTTGCGTCAAAGCTAAAAGAGCAGCTAAAAATAAGCTAAGCACGATTTGGTTTATGCGCCAGGATTTGACTTTAAGTTTCAAAATCCAGAAAAAAATTTGTGGTTTATTTCGCTTAGCTTTCCAAACAATTAAGCCGGACTTGCTTATCTTGATTTTCGCATATATAAAATGTAAAATTTAATTTTTCAAAAAATGTTATGTTATTTACATAAAGTTAATATATTTATAATTTTCATTGAGAGTTTCAAAGTCGGCCAAATTTAAATTCTTTGACTTTTTCACAGTATTTTCTGCACATTTTCTATCGGTTATATTCATTTTTCACAGTCTTCTGCCTTGATTAATCAAATTCAATATGATTATTCATGACAATATCGAAGATAATATATCATAATCAAATTTTTTACATAGCATGTTTGTTTATTGATTTCACTTGCTTGCCTCGGCCTTTCTTCTTTCACGATTCTGACAGTGTCTGACTGAGACCGAGAAGTTGGTCGCATTTAAATGTGCTGAGATTTGTGTGCCCTGGACTGGGGTGAATGTTTCCCGAGCATGTGCCTGGCATTTTAATAATTTAGCCCTCAGCGTTACGGCAACGATATGGTTTATGATTGGGAGGAAATTTGTAATAAACAAGCGCTGACATGGACTTTGGCTTATTTACATAAATTATGGCCAATATCTGCTTGGCGAAATCAGCAAAAATTTCAGCCAATTAAATAACCATATTTTCTGCCATTTTCTCTTTGCCATCACTCGCAAGTGCAAATTCCGAGCGTGTGGATTTAAGTTTAAATCGAAGCAGCCGAGTAAGAAATTTACATACACTAAGACCATGAAAGTATTCAACCTGTGCGGGGGTCATAAAACAATATTAAAGCTGGCTTGGCAAGGAACAGCAGCTGCAGAGTCTGCTGGACTATGAAGTGCCCTGTATAGAAAGAGGTCTTGGACCATTAAGCAAATTAATTGTATACAAGAATTTATTATAGAGAGATTAGAACGAAGAATTTGTGGAAAAGGTGGCGAAAATGTTAGGAGATGGAATAAGTGAAGGTGGAAGATAGAAGAGGAGATAATTTTAAGGCATTCATTATTAAAATTTTAAACATTTTCCTGAAATACAATTCATTTTGACCTCAAACTAGTTTTCACACTTCCACTTTAAGAGGGGTATTCAAAAATGGAAAAATTTGAAAGAAGAAGCAGAAACAGAAAGCATTACTTACTTGAAATGAGGCCGTAAATGCCGAGATGACTTGGTATGTATACTCCCAGGGATGCTCTTGGCCAGGACGAAACGGCGTTAACATATACTGGAGGCCAAGCAGCGGCACCAGCAGCAACGTAGCTCTGTGAAAAAAGACGAAGAAAAAGGCAGAGCAATTTAGAAAGTGAGAGGTAAAGAATGAAAGTGTGGAGACAGAGAGGGTAGGAAGAAGAGAGCGAGTTTGGGTTGGATTGTAATAATATTTAGACTTATGTATAATTCGTTTGTCGACGAGCGTATTAAAATGCAAGTCAACGCGGCGTATGCGTAATTTAAAATGTAAAATGAAGCAAAATAAAAAACTTTCGAACGCAGCGCGGCGAAAAAGGAAGCGAACAGAAAATGAAAGGAAAAGTACGAGCCGAAGAAAAACAAGTTTATTACGCATACGCCCTGCAGGCCTGTCGTCGGCACTTTTTGTGTGAGTAAGCAAATTACATATTATTATTATTATTGAATTGAAGTCTTTTACTTTTGGGACTTGACGCTGTTTGTTTTTTCTGTTGGCCCCATTTTTGCGCTTCAAAAAACTTACCGAAATGCTTGAAGTACGGTTCGTGAGGGTCCACAGCCGCCCTGCAGGCTGGCGGGGGCATTCAGCTTCAGCAGGACGACGCGCACAATGTTGCAAAGGAACAGTAAATTGAGGAAGATTGAAATGCAAACGGGAACTATCAGAATGTAGTTATAGTCTGTGTCCGTCATCCAGCAGCTAGAAAGAGAGGGAGAGAGAGAGAGGGAGAGACAGAGATGGAGATGAGTTAAGTCTGTGAGCGAATTGTCATCTAATGAATTGCAAACGAGCTGGTTTACAATTGATTTGATTTGATTTGAGTTTGCAAATCGGTTTGCATGTATGCGTGTACACAATCAATTTAGCAAGTCACACACACATACACACACGCATACACACATGCTGACATCATGTTGCATTGCACTTACTGTAGATTCTCCTCCCGGCTGCCACTGAGTCCGCGTGCCAGTCCATAGATGCAAATGACAATGGCCGGCGAACACCAGCCGAAGGCTATCAGCCATTTGACCAGCTTTTTCTCCGATATAAAAGCAGCGACCAGCACCGTGTGCAGGTAAAAGCCCTCGCACAGCATCCACGAATAGTTCGTCAGCAGAAAATAGTGCAGTATTATGTGCAAAGCCACACAATAGCCCTGAAACAAAAACAGAAAAAAAAGAAGAAGAAGCAGATGGAAGAGAAATTGAAAATTCAATTTCAGAGACGGGGCTTTGGCTTTCATTAAGTCTGCTTACCGGACTGAGCTGCACCAGCTCCGAGTTGGGCACCACAACCAAATACCAAATGAGCCACAGCGAACTGTTGGCCGCAAATGAGCTGAACAGATTCATGTGAAGCGTGATGCGAGCGCATTTCAGAGATCTGAAAATAAGAAATGAAATGGTTAGTTGGAGTTGAAGATGGGGATTTACAGAGATGTTTCTTATGATATATGAAATATTATTAAAGTCCATGTGCTTTGTGAGTTCCCTACAGAGCATTTCGTAGTCTGGTAATCTCAGTTGATGCAGTGTCCCCCGACATAGTCTTTCCCAGACATTATTACACACAAGAATTCGTTTAATTTCCATTTTTTTGTTGTATCCAAATATTGACATACATTTGGTAAAACACGTATTTGCATTTCACACGACTCTCATTGAAGAGATGGCCACAGAGTGGACTAACCAATGGGGCATATAAAATTTGTTTGGGATGTGAATGGAGTTTCAATGTTTCAGTGTCAGCATCGAGCGCACATGCTGTGAGCTTTCATTTCCCATTTTCCAGTTCGCATCTCAGTCGAGTTTCGATTCGTTGCGGCTGCATTTGTCGAATTTTGGCAGTTGGCCAAGAGCCGTGCTGCATATTAATGAAATCTTGTTGGAACTGGCGAATTAATGCATGCCATGCAAATTGGATACAGCTCACGGTGTGCACACAGGTTGTGTCCACATTTGGCCATATGTGACTGCAACGTCCGACGTTTCTAATGCAATAATATCCAAGACAGTTTTTACTAGCGCAGATAGATGAGTTAGATAAATGCTGGTCAGCTAGAAAAAGATTGGCTGGCAGGACTTGGCATTTTTGATGGGACTTAAGGCAGCATGCTGTCCAAGCCCTAACGGGATTACTGTCTGAATTATATAGGAGCTTAAGAGATTTTTTTCATTTCAGCTAAAGTTGCGACAGAAATGAAAATTTAAGAACATAGAAGAATATATATAATATATCTATTATTTGCATGAAACTTTAGAATATTTCTTATTTATTTAATTTTAAAAAATATTAAATTAAAATATATAAATAAAGTACTAAATTAAAATCTATAAAATTTAAAATCTGTTTAACGATACAATCAAACTTTTGTTTATTAAAATTCCAAATTAACATATACATATACATATATCGATTAAAGTATAAAAAAATGTTATGTGGAGTGTGAAAATTTTAATTTTAATTATCAATTAAACTAATTGAAATTCGCGAAATATTTGTGTGTCTGCGTTTAATTTTCACACTCAATTAATTTGCGCTTTTAATGTACTTTCACATTGGTATAGTTAAGAGCATAGTTAAACGAAATTCCTGGCACATTTGGTGGCACGTTTTATTAGCCCTTTGCACACAGTTGAAAACGCTTTAGCCAAAGGTTAGCTGTTTCAGTCTAACTCTCTCTCTCTCTCTCTCTCTCTCTATCTCTGTCAGGCTGCGTGTCTTTTTGTCTGAGCTGATAATAAACAAGCCAAGAGCACTAATTGTGCTGCAGACAAGTGGAAATTAATCGATATCCTGTTTGAAGAAGACACACAATTTAATACTCACTTGACGTACGACACAGCAGGCAATGAAAATGATAGAGAGCGAGCGACCGAGAGAGCGACAGTAGGTAAAGTTAGCTGCCGATGTGGAGGCCTTGGTAAGAAAGCAAATATTTTCTCATTTCCGACGTCAAGTGTGGCGGATTAAATGGGCGCACGAAAAGTGCAATGAACAGAGGCAGAGACAGAGACTGAGCCAGACACACACAGACACACACACCCACACATGTTGAGCTCTTTGGCAGTTGATTAGAGAAGCGTTTGCCTCATCTTTGTTTAACAATAAAATTTGGCGCCAAGCGCACCAGGGCCAAGACCATAACAACAACTGGCAAATGTGGCTCATTAGCCGTAAGTGCTTTTATACGGCAACTCAAGCACGAGTGTAGCTAAGCTTGGAGAGACTTACTTGAAGTAGCTCAGTATGCCCAACGATAGCAATATGGCCAGCAGCGAGATGCTGTAGCCCACCTCATAGATCAGGTTCACATTGTGATTGCGCTGCAAATGAAAATTTATATTAAATTTAAGCATAAATTTTCAATTTGAATTTCAATTTAAAACTTACCGCCAAATCGTCCAGATTTATGCAGGTGGTATAGTTCGACCAGGTTCGGTTGGTCAGCGGATGCTTGAACCACTCGCCATCATCGCCGCACTCCTTGTGCGCATATCCTGTGAATTGAAATTGAGTTTATCTAATATTATTTCCGGCTCATAATAAGCTTGCGCCAGAATAAACTAATTATAAATAATTGCAGCGCACACACAGAATGCACTCACTTGGCGCTTATTTCCCATAATATTTTCATTAGTTTTCCATTTATTTTGCATTTTGAGATTGCAGCTATAATGTGGATTGCGTATGCGCTATGTAAACAATTTAACCGCAGCCAATTGATTGCGGACAAATTAGCTATTGGCAGTGCTTGATGTAGATCAATAAATAATGCTGTAATATATTGGACGTATTTGATAGACTTGAAAATACTACTTAATTAGCAACATTTTGGTTTCCATAGAAACTTGAGCAGCTTGCGGTTCCTAAATAATTGCAATAAAAATAGGAAATTTGAATCTTAATAATAGCAAAAGTCCAACTAAAGTTGGTAAATTTCAATTGATCCTCTAAATGGTTTCCTTAAAAGTTTTTAAGTGCCTCAGGCATGTCGAATGCCTTGGCTCGACTGAGTTATGCAATTTTCGTGCCATTGTTAAATTGTTATCGAACTTGTTGAAAGCAATCGCACACACGCACACACACACACTCACACACAGAGGGAGTTGCCACAGCCGTAACAGGAGCAACTATTGTATTCTTGGTCAATGGAACAACACAAAGACGAGTTTCGAATGCCTTAACTGTTGGGAATTTCACAGGTGAAGTTCTGAAACGTTCGCTTTATCTATTTTACTCTATCTGTCTTGTTTTCGCTTTTTTTTGTGGTACCCTTTTTATACCCACTTGGCACGCAGCAACGAAAAAATCACGTATACGCTCTGTGTGGCAAATAAGCAGCATGACAGCCAGCCAACGAAAAAAGCAGCAGCATTTTTGTTGCTGTCGTTGCTTCTGCTGCTGCCATTTCTACTAGTGCCACAGCCACTGCCACTGCTAACCACATCCGACCAACGGAAGTGCCATAAAAGTTAATGACGGCGCACTGCAAAGCACATAATCTTGTACAATCTGGCGACCCCGAGGCGCTGCTGCTGCCGCTGCTGCCAAAGGCGTGCTGCTGGCCAAAACCGAGCCATAAGCCAAATGTGCTGTAAGCCACATTTGCTTACTGCAAACGCAACAGAGGCAACACCAACTCCCACCCTTTTTAGCCACTGAGTATGCTAGGCGCCATGTTATTTTTTTCTGTTCTTTTTGGCACAAACAACACACAAAAATGTCATTCAACTTTAGCTCAGACACGTGACAAAGCTGTTGCATGGGCGCTGTTTATGTGGCCTGCTGTCGCGTTACATGCTGAAAACTGACATGGCAGAGTCAAGTAATATGCCATAAATTGCCATAGAGAACTTGATTGTGATTACTTAATAGCGAGCGCTTAGTTTGACTACAAATATTGCAATTTATACGCTTTAGGAATGGGAAGAAGTCTTGGGATACAAATATTTAATAACATAGAATTAAAAGTGGAATAATTTTTAAATGTAATAACTTCTAGGAGTATTCCAGTCAAAGCTACCCGACTTGGAGTTACCCTAAACTTATACCCAAGTCTCTAAATCTGTTTTATACCTATCTACACTGCAGGGTATTTTCTAATTCCCTTAACTTCGTTGCTTTAATTTACCTTTTTTCTTTTTTTTCATAAATATTTAAAATTTATTCCAATTTTTATGTTGTTTTTGCCTAGCATAAACAATTTCATGCAGCTTTGAATAATTCATTATTATTGTATTAAAATTTTGCTGGCCGACAAAATCAGGCAACAAAAAAAAAAAAAAATAAATAAAATAAAAAACAGGAAAAAAGTTGGCCGCGAGCTAATAACAGGAAATTGCGCTTGGCTAATTCGTGAAGCTCTGCTCACATGTTGGCTATGATACGCCATTTTGTATCTATATAATTAAGTGGGTTCAAAGTTTGTGGCTTATGTTTTTGATAGCGTGAAATGTTTAACATTTTTGTTTTCCTGTTTTCTGTTTTCTGTTTGCGTTTACGTTTATTTATATCAAACGGCTGGGCTTGTTGTTGATGGGGGATTTAGTAATGTGAGTGTGTGGCAGACAAGATAATAGCTAAAGGCAATGATATGAGGTAGAAATTTATTAACCAAATGGATGGATAATTGAATTGGGGTTGATTGTTAAGGCCGGCCAAATAATTAGCTGTAAATTAAATTTTAATTTTAATGAATTTATTTGGGCTAAATAAAGTAAGCTGTCAAAGCCGAAAGAAAATTAATCTTAGATATATAATAAATAATAAAATAGATATATAAATAATTAAGATTATAAATTAAAAAATTACAATAATAAATATAAAAAATTTAAAATTATAATCAAATAAATAATAATAACAAGAAATGTTTTTTTTTTTTTTTTATATAATTCTTTTGATGTTCTGTATTCCTTTTAAATATTTTTCTTTACTTAAAATTTTCTGTCAATAAAATTGACATCTATGTATACTTGGAGATATTTTCATATATGTCTTAAAGCAATGTCTCTGCTAATAAATTGTTCTCTAATATTAATTCAGCTTTTTAAGTGGCACTTGTGTCATTTTCATGCGCTCAAGTTTTTTTTGGCATTTATTTGACTTTGTTTTGGATTTGGAGCTTTAGTTCGTATATTGTGCAAAAATAAAAAAAACTAAATAAAAAAGAAAACTTGACTTGAAAAACTTGTACAATTTACTTTTCGATACTTCAAAACTTGAACAATGCTTTATTATTTGCTGTTGTTATGGATTTTTTCTCTCTAATGAAAACATATTTCACAGCAAAACTTCAGTTATTGATTTCCAACCAAAAAAAAAGGAAATGGGAGTAGCTTTTGTGGCCTAAGAGCCACGAAGAAAAAAAAAAACAATTTAAGCAGCTGCTTTATGCACGAGTACACACGCACACACATGAGCGGCTTGGGTGTATGCGTGTGTATGCGTGTGCTTTATATATATTTAAGTCAGCGCTAAGAAGCAAATTGATTTGGTAGCATCTTTTAATAACAGATGAAAGATAAAACAGCTGCTTTACGGCAAAGTCAACAGCGGAAGCGGAAATGCGGCCTAAAAGACGCCTTCACATAGGGGAATGCGGCCAATTAGAATGCCAGGTGGAATTGGGCGATTTTTGGTTTGCGGCTTATTCAGGCATGTGCGCTTCAGATTGTGTGTGTGTGCGTGTGTGTGCCCTCATGTCTGCTGCTTGCTTGGCGCTCGCAGCCTTGCCTCAAGTGCCTGCCTCCCCTGGCAGTATTTCCGTTTCCGTTATAATACAGGGCCTGACATTTGCTTGCCTCCGCTCATTTGTACAATAAATTCATTGGAATATTTGATTTGCTGTCAAAATCAGCTACAGCTTAAGCTGGACCCCGGATGTTGACAAACAAACAAGTGCGTCAATAAAATAGCGTTACTTACGTGTCGGATCAAAGCCGGTGATGAAGCCCGGGCAGAGCTCATAGGCGGACTCGCCAGCGCGCGTGTCGGGCCAGCAGAGCCAGCCATCAAAAGTGCCCGCACAATGTGGACCTAAAGACGGATTACACAAATTGTATATAGAGTGTTGTGGTGGGTGTGGCATGTGGCATGCTGTTGTTGTTGTTGTTGTTGTTACCTGTTAGTGGATGGCTGCTATTCAAATGCGCGTTGCAGGCCGCACGCAGTGCATCAAAATCTGGTCCGCTTTCAGCAATGCTGTTGTAAGTGGAGCTGCTGCTGCTGCCGCTGTTGTTGTTGTTGCTGCTGCTGGTGCTGTTGTTGGCGCTCTGCTCAGCCATCGCTTAACAAAACAACAAAACGTATGCTGCAAAAGCGAGATTAAAAAGTGTTGCAATTAGTTTTTTGGGGTCGACTCGCGTTGGCTTTTAATATGTGGCCAAATATGTTTTGAGGGGGGCACGCGCTTAAATCTAGGCAAGGCTTTTAAAACTTTTCAATGAATGCGTGTATAGGAATGTTGTATATATACATATGTATGTATGTGTATATGTATTTATGTAAGCGTATGCGTCTGCTACTCGCGCTTCATTGCATGCAATCGCATATTTTTGTGTTTTACAGTTGGTTTGAGCCGCAATTTAATTGGTTTTGCGGCCAATTCGCTACGTATGCGGGCTGATGTTGTTGTTGTTGTAGCTGTTGCTGTGTACATGTGTGGGTGTATGTGTGCGCAATTTATTCATTTTGTTATTTTAATGCCTTTTCCTGAATTCAGCTGCGGGCAAACGCAATTTAATTCGAACGCCCAAAAGTATACAATTCATTTTTTATGCCCGCACTCGAGTTGTTTACAGCAAATACGCACAATAAATTAAATGTACATTAAAGCGGGATTTGAAGTGCTTAACCCGTTGACAGGAGGTGCTACGAAAAATGCTGTAAATCTTATTGATATATTAAGGAGAAAGACTGAGCTCAACTGTGAAGATGAAATTATTTCAGAAATATTTCCATTTCCATTGAATTCCTAATTGCATCAATTATTTAACAATTTTTATATTTTTCGAAATATTTTTACTGACCAAATTCCTCAGATTCAATTTCATTCCAATTGAAACAATGCTCAAATTTGTCGCACAGCAGACCTGGCATTCCATGCTGGCTAACACAGCTAAGCAAACATGGAAATAGCTATGTCACACAGACCATTGACCACACACGGATACACACACACACACACACATACACACGGCCAACTGTCGATAGGCAGCTGCAACTGCATTTGTGCGTTGTGCGTCGAGCCGGATGCGAGCCAAAGAGGAAGCCGAACCAAATAGTCCGAAACAAAGCGAAACTTTAGCCACAACAACAGTCAACAGACAGCTGAAAGCTAAAGCCCAGTTAACAGAGCACTGATTGCAGCGGGGAGGCGTGGCTGGGTGCCAGGCTGGCAGCTAAGGGCTGACGGCTCCTGTGCAACGGAGCAGCAATCAAGCGTGGCGGGACGATAGAATTAGGTTTGGAGTAGATGAGCTCCGTTGAACAAGTTCGAATTGAGCGCTATTTGTGCTAGCTGCGAAGTAAACTCACGCATACACACACACAAAAATGCACTCGCACACACACACTCACCTACACTTAATCTCATCGCTTGGGCAAATGGCAGTTCGCACTTAAAGCCACAGCGAGTGAATGCGCATTGAAATGAATTGTTGCAGGTGTTGAGGCAAAGGGATGAGGACAAAAGTGTTTAAGTCAGGCTAAAAGTGCTGCGTAATGGCGAAATGTGGCTGCACTTGGGCGGGCATAAAACGGGTAAATATTGTCAGGCAACAGCGGTTGATAAGGATAACGCATGTTTATATATTTATTATGCAGCGCAGCGCCAAAAGCTGAGCAGACAAATTTGTTTATTAACCGGCAAAAGCTATAAAACAGCTGCCAATTTGCAGTAATATAACAGAAAGAGACAGAGAGAGAAGGAGAGAGAAGGAGAGAGAAGGAGAGAGAAGGAGAGAGAGAGAGAGAAGGAGAGTGGAAGTGGGTCAGCAACAGCTTGGTAGCACTTAAATTTTACGAGTCCGAAGGCGACAAACTTGCCAAGCTGATAAGGCACTGTGTGGGAGGGGCGCGGCAAGTGCGGCTAGGTGAGAGCAATAAGCCAAAAACTTGAGCTATTGATAGAAGCAAACGTTAAATGCGTGCAAAAAATATCAAAGCACACTTTGCAGCATTTACTCTCAGTGAATTAGTGTGTGCGTGTGGGCGTGCCAACGCAACCAATGCTAATAAAAATATTTTTACGAGTGCGCACACACACACACATGCACATTGACAGAGGCCTGTGCACGCAAGGCAATAACAGAAATTAGCAATAAAAAATGCCTAGGCCGAAAGCGTGGCCCCGGCACTCATCAGCTGGCAAATTGCGTGTGGTGCAAGTGGGTACAACAACAACAACTTCAATAAAACAGGCAACCACATAAAATACGAAATGTACGAGCCAGCCAAAGAGCATCTATTTTGAGGTCTTCAGCCCAGTGAAAAACAATGTTCCAGTCGTAATTTTTTCCATTTTTACTTTTTACTTTTCTTTTTTTTTTTATGCTGCAACACGCATTAAGAGAGAATGGAAAACAAGAGGTAGCGAGGCGCATGAAATTTGTTTGGCTTTTGAACTGCATTTCGCTAGCTATCGAAGTGAGTTTTCATGACAGCTCCCGATGCTCGTTTCCGATCCACGCACACGTGACGTATGAGTAATGAAAAGATACACACACACACACGCGTACGACTCTGCTTGCTTTGATGACTCTCTGTGCGTGTGTATGTATGTGTGTGGGTGTGTGTATTTCAATTCGTTCGCTGTCAAAACTTTCAACATCTTTTGTATGGTTTATTGCACATCTTTCGAATAGTTTTTCCTCTTACTCTCAAATAAATCATTTTTATTTACAATTTATTAGGGCGTATATATCATAAAATCTCTATTCGGCTGTGCGCAAAAGCTTTTCCGCTGATTTATGCGGCTTCGCACAGCTGTGTGGGCGTGTGTGTATTAAGCAAATATTAGCGTATGCTTCTTCAAATAAACAATCGCTACTTAAAAGCAATTACAAAAAGCATTAATTTTAATTTCCTATGCAATAAACATAAAAATTGAGCAACCGCATGACCTTGCATATTGTATTAAAGCAAATAAATAGACTTTTTTCGGGCTGATGTGAATGTGTAGGAGCTGAGTACAAAAACATTCTTTGATAAACACAATGCAAAGTTTGTTTATTATTATTATTGTTATTTTTCTTTTTTATTGTGTGCGCCTGAATATTCAGTTTTTTTAAGCATTGTCAACAACGGGATTTGGGCTATGTAAAAATATTACAGCGTATCAATTGTACAGCAATGTTTGCACTTGGGGACATCTGTTATGCCAGAGTTTAACAATTCTGCATTGGATATAAAAACAAAGGGGGATTTGCCGCACAACTGTTGCAAAATGCATTTAAGGGCTTAAATCAACAAATATGCATTTGGTAAATTGAATGCAACAGGAGCAACAAATGCAAATCTCTTTTTTGACTTCACTCGACTCAATCTGCTGGCCATTGAATTTTCTGGCACAGATTTCAGTTGCTATTTTGTGCTGTCAGGCAGTCTGTAAACCGTATACCAAATGAAGATAAACTCCTGACTCATATATTACAGGACAACATGCAAATGCAAATCGAAAGCCATAAAGAATTATATCATTTTGAAACGAAAGGATTGCCAGTCAAATTGCAAAAATCAAGGCTCATCTCTTAATAGGCTCCAAGTTTAACCCGCAATCGCATATAGCGCACCCCGTTATACGAACATATTTGTTTGGCAATATTTTCTGTAAGTGAAGCGCATGATTATTAATCAAAACAGAAATTTCCATTTACATACGCAAAGTAAATAATAAACAACAGATATTTTATTGCTGTCGCACGCCCCGTCGATTCCCAAACAGAAGTCAAGCATATTTTGAGCGCGGCTTAAGTTTTGCATTTAAATTGAAACTCAATTTAAATACACATAAATCAAGGCAGAGCCGTAACCAAAATACTAAAAAATAATATTAAGCATACGCCACATTGAGCAGGCCAAAAAAAAAAAAAAAGGAAAAGGAAAAAGCCGCATTTAAGGTGCCGCTTATCAAGCCGCGTCGCTTTTCATATCTTAGAAGCCATATATCATAAAATACATCATCACAATGAAGCAGAAATTTCGTTAAACGTATGAATTTTCTGGTCGTCCCGACTGTCAGCTGTCATGCTAATGCAAAATATCTGAGAGAACTTGTCGCTGATTTATAGAGTACACGCCGCATAGTTGAAGACTTCAAGTGCACACAAAGTAGCTAATATATCAAATAAAATGCGAGCAGTAAATGCGAAGCAGTTCGAGCAGACTAAACGGAAATGCGCCACAGGATACATCATGTCCCTACACATATTTCGATAGATGTGTATGTATGTGTGTGTGTGTGTATACAGTTGTAGCTGTGTGTATTTGCAACATTCGTTTAGACCCCTCGATGTCACAGCATAATACATGCTCTTTATGTGTCCGGAGTGCGCTGCCAGGATTATGTCTGAAAGGACAGCTGGGCAAATAACTCGACCAACTTCAAGCACAACAACAACAAAGAAAACAGAAGAGCAGGAGCTGCAAAAACAACAATTGATACAAAATTACTGTTGCTGCTGTAGCATAACGCGCAGAGGTAATTTATTTATTTAGCACATGTTTTATTTTAGTCCCTCTCCAGTGGGGCCAGCCGCTCTCCCATGCAAGCCGGGGTTAAAAATCCAAATGGAATAATTTATAAAGCTCAGACAGGGTGCTTACGAGTTGCTTAACTTGCGTTAAAGGTCAAAATGTTTGCCTTTAAAACTGCAAGGGAAATGTTGGCTGAGTCGTTGCATTCTGCTTGTGGTTTGCTTTGTGCCACATTTCGCCTTTGTTGCACACGCTCGTTCGCTCTGTCACAATTTTCGTGTGGTGCCTTCTGCCTTCTGCCTGCTCATGCCTCTGCTATGTTACAAGAAAAAATTCCATGTACTACGTGCCTCAGCTCATTTTTTTCGCTTTTGCATGCGCTCGCCTTGTCAACAAAAAGTGCTGGGCATTGTTACGCATACGACGTGTGGTACACGTTGGTTAGGCCCCCCCGCAGGTTCATTGCTTCTCGCTTAACTAACCAGACAAGTTTTTGACTTGGGTTTGGGCATTCGGCTGTGGGCTGTGGGCTTTTCAAAATGAAATACGTGCCACACGTGTTAAATGCGGCTCTTTACACACGCTTTCTTATCCCGGGCAACAA